AGAGGCTTTGCTGTGCACGACAAACAAGTGCAATGATTCCAGGGCAAACACTACAGAAAATGATATATTTGCTCAAGCAAACAAAGGAAAAGTAGATTATTTATTTTGAGGTTATCAACTGCAATACATACTTTGCTGATTTTATGTAATTAAATCCATTCCATCCTGAAGCGACATGAGATCTATATAAGCATATACCGAGAATAGATATTACCAATATTAAAGCAGGAATGACTTTTACTGTTATAACTCACAACAAAATAGGGAATAAGCCCCAAAATTATTATAAACAAAAGGATCTTATGCCAGTTCATGTCTTTTCTATGTTGACAAATATGTATCATAAGTGCCTCTCAAACTCACTCAGTTCTTTGGCATCTGAAAACTTCTAGTTCTCTTGTTGTGAAAGCTAGTAGTGTGAAGATTTTTGAGTTCATGGGAAGATTGAATGTTCACAGTTCAGGGTCAGGCATTTGCAAAAATTTGCATATTTTGAGGAAGTACAAGCTTACAGTTGTTTTTCCTCTATGATCTGTCGCCGGTCCCTGTTGGCTGCAGCTTATTGGGCAAAGCAGTAAGAGCCATAATGGGCTGTTCCTACATTTTAAGTTGCTCAGGCACATCTTTTGCATAGGTGTTAAGTGGTGTCTTAGACAGCAGTTCACATTTTTCCTTGTTTTAAAAAGTGATGATTAGTCCAAATAGAAGGAAATTGAAATCAATTTATTAATTTCCCTTATATAACCATTTATCTTCTTTTGTTGGGTAGGAATGGGAACAGGTTTGTAGTACTTTTAGAATATTTAAGAACCAAAAGAGAAAATTTCCCCAGCCTAAGAGCTGCGCTAAAGCTAAGCATTTATTTTGATGAGAGATGCTTATTATAATCACTTTTTAATGATTTGCTCAGCAATTAAAATCAATCATGCTGCTTAATTTCTCTTAATTTGGATACTTCAGATATGCGCTTTATATGAAACCCTTCCTTCAAAACTTGATTAGCTGTTTTTAATAATCTCCATTACTCCTGAATCCTTCAACACACAAAATATTACTATTTTTTTCACTCACATCTATTTTTATTTCAGTTAAATTGCTGGTCCCAAGATATACAGTATATATTATGCTCTCCTCTGTGTATTTTTAATTTATCTCTCTTCACATTCTAGCCAGGCTCTTTGGACAACCAAAGCTGTATAAATGTCAGTTAAATCTCTTTATGTTTGTCAAGTGGAACAATCTCATTCTATTTACATAGCTCCCATTATTTTAGCTTTAATGTTAAGATGCCACTGAAATTCCAAACTCGTATGTTTCGGCAGTGCATAACTTATTAATTTTAATTCCTCTTTTTCCATTGAATTTAATGAATCCTATAACATTAAACTCCAGGTACTTCATCATGACATTCGGCTATGGCTTTGAAAGTGAAGTTTGAATTTCAATTTCATGCTAGACCACTGCAGTCACACAACTGGGTAAGACAAGGGAGGGACTGAAGATTCCTCTGAGATGTCTTGTGCCTCATGCTGCAGTGACACAGACCTCACAAGAGTGGTCTTCCTCCCGCAAGTCCTGGCCACTACTGATCCTGCTAGGCATGAATGCAGGAATGTGGGAATCCTGGTCTGAGGTTTTGATGAAAGCATAAGCCTGCATTTTGTGAAATGCTAGACCCAAAACAATTTCTAGAATTACAGAATCAAGGGCCATATTTCCATGGCATTGTGATTTGGGAAAAAAAAAAAAAAAAAGAAAAGAAAAAAAAAGAAGGCTTGCACCAAAAATGGAACAGCTGAATTGTATGAAATGTAAACTGTTAAGTAAGCTTTCATTTCAATAATACCATTTTTCATTTTCTGACCTTTTCCCATCCAGGCTTGGTAATCTCTTGGATAGCATTAGAGAAGGCAAAGGTTATAAGACTTAACTGATATCCAATATTGTCAGTGTTAAAACCTTTGAAATGCTTCCTTCAGAAAGATGCACAAAAAAGGAAAATTAAAAACTGCAAAGTTTTTTTTTTTCCTCATTCATCTGTCTTCTGTCTTCAGGGCTTTTTGCTACTTGCAGCTTGAAACACAGATACAGCAAGTAGTCTAAGCAATCTCCTCAGGTCCTGATACACCAGCAATACATAGTTCATTATATTGTTTTCTCATGTCAAGCCCAAATTTCAGTCATCAGCAGCTATTTATGGCCCATGTTTTTGAAACAGAAGGCAAAAACAGGTGGAAAATAATAAAGAATATCAAAACAGATAAAATCTATTTGTCTTTAACTAATTTGAACAATGTAGACCTTTCCCCATCAGTGCCAGAAGCACTGGTGAGATGCACTGATGAGTTCATCAGTATTGTTATTTATTATTATATTAGTGGGCAGGCAGGATATGGGGAGAAAAAAAAAGAGTAAAGAGAGTGAGTGTACAGATTCTTCAGCATTTAGAGAGAAAAGCAATGATGCCTGCTCAGTTATTATTGCTTCTAAAATGTCACAGTATCCTGGCATCATGACAATAGAAGTTGAGCAACACAGGATTTAGATAATCCTAGTTTCAAAATCATAGGGCTAGAGGAGATTTTAAGAAATTATCAAATTTATCTCCACATCGCTAAGATAAATCAGCTTTTGCTGCATCATTTCTCAGTGCCTGCCTTGGCTATTCTTAAAAATCCTTCTTTATGTAGATGCTAGACAATAAAACTACTTATTTTTGTCCTTGTCACCAGAAAAATCTTGCTAATGTTTATGCAGAATATATTTTAAATGCTTGCTCTGCATCCCAGCCATTATAAAAGCAGATACTAAACACTTCTTCCTCGGTCATCACTTCTGTAATAACAATACTAACAGTAAAAAACCCTTATCTTGGTCAAAGTGCAGGACAGCTTTCTCCGCTTAAATTACAAAAGAACAAATATAAAAAAATACAATTGAACAAAGGGCATTTTGACTAAATCAGAAGGCAAAATGAAGGGGTGGAAGAGGACAGATCTGAGTGCCTTCATGAAGATAGTGAAACAGGAGATTGTGTACCTCAATGTATTTAGTGTACAGTCTGAGGTCTGGAGACGTAGGATCCAATCTGCACGTCTCAGCTTCATTTAATGATCTAGAGCAACTCAGGGTTTCCTGTTCTTCTGGTTTTAGTTATTCTGTACTGCTACTATCTACATCTCAGCTCTTTCAGGAAACTGACACTGATGTTTACTAACCAAATATATAAATATATATGCATTAATATATATACAATGACAAAATATTTTAGTTAAGGAAATTTTTAAGTTAAACTAATAAGGAAGTGTTATTCCTTACTTTTAAGATACAGTGTTTTCGTCACCCATTATATCGTTGGGTGGATCCAATATTAAATACATTGTATGCACACACATATATATAAAAGCATATATATAGCCTATATATATATTAGCATAACTATTAAATTACTTTTAAAATTACAATTAATTTAGAAAATTTAGGGAATGTTCGATTTCTTTATCAGGACCTTAATGTCTAATCAATCAAAATCAAACAGTACAGTATAATAGTAAAAACAAAGTAATAGTATGATCATATAACATAATAGATACAGCATAATAGGATCATATGATAAAGTAAAAAGGTTTGAAAATATCTAATTTATTAATAGAAAGTATATAAGCAGCCACAAGTAATGACAGAAGAACTTTGATCTTAGGGAATATGTCATTATAAGACCCTCACTTTATATCGTTACTGAACTATTTGGTAGTACTACTTTAAGTGAACCAGGGAATAGTCAGAAAAACAAAAGCAATGAGGTACAGTTGAGATTAAATCTCAAATACAGTTACCTAAAGAAGGAACACAGCATCTTCAGAAGATTGCTGAAATCCTTGGACAAAGGTTGCCAGTGAGACTGTCAAGGGAGTCACAACCTCTCACTGGACTTTGGTGCTGCCACAGGACAGGACTGCCCAAGAAGATAAAGAAAAGTGGGCCTGTAGCTGTTTGATAAAATAATGTCACTAAGTTTCCTCATGTATCAATTAATAAATGACAGCTCCTATCTAACTTTTTAGAAATTCCTAAAGGTGCGTATTGCCCACTGCTCTCTCTATGTGCTGTCTCACACTTTACTACCTCTCCTCACAGCCTTCTTTGATATGACTTTTGATACTACCTACTAATCCACACCACATTAACATAATGATTTTTATTACAAATAACTGCAACAAACTTTTTAGTATTTTGGTCTCTGTCATCAGGAAGGGAAGGATTTCCTGCTCAGAGAAATACTTGTTTTGCTGATAAAAGCAATAAAGCAAAAACTCAGAGATCAGCTCTCTGAAAATCTTTCTGCCATTCAAAAATGCTACTGTGTTATCAGCTGTGTAATGCACTGACTCCAGAGACACACATCTAGGACTTCAGCAGTTTATTATCTCTTCTTTGCCACTGCTGCTGAATGATGTCTCCCAAGCTGCTGCATATATAAAAAATACATGTTTCTCTTTTAAAATGTTTTATCTTCACATTTAACTTTTAGTTCTCTCATGGGAAACGATATATAATACGAGATTACTTCATACTTCACAGCCAGAGAAGGTTTTAAGCTTGAGTCTCTTACCACATACTGCATTAAAAGGAGCATTTTATAAAGACCAAGCTCAAACAAAAATCCATATTCTTTTTTGCCCAACACTTATTTTGTAAATGCCAATCCAGCTTCTTTTCCAGTTTTATGTGTTTTTTGTATGTTTAGGTGCTGTGAATTTGAAGGAAAAATGTCTGACAAACATTGGAGCTCTTTTTTCCTTTTTCCTAAACAGAGACCCAGGGAGATTTTATTTACTGAGTACAGGTGAAGCCTGAGAGAAGGGAACCCACGCTGATTTATTTTTCAAACTAATCTTGACACAGACACAAGGGAAACACCACACTTGACTTGAATAGAAGCTATTTTTGCAAAATTTGATTTACAACAGAAGAAAGACAGAAGTGAGCCAGAAAGCTACCTTCTTAGGACACCTTCTCCGTTCCAGCAGGGGAGACCATCGGCAGCCACCAGTTCACTCCCGCACAGCTGATCCGCCAGGCCGCCGAAAAAGGCTCAGTAGGGCCGGAGATGCCTGATAAACTCCCTGCACACGGACAGCAGAAATAATTGTCAGTGTCAACCAACAACACTGAGCTGCCTTGCTGTTGTGCATCTCTAAAACTTAAGGAATGTGTTTATTCCATTACTCTCCACTGGTTCCAGTGGTATTTTAAATTGATCTGTCAATAGACGAGTTTGATTATTTTAGATACGCTTCATTAGTTTATGAAGTTGATACTCCCACTGGTCAAATTTAAAAAAAAAAAAGCCCCTACTTTACATATGCTCTGGAAAAGGAACTATTTATTTCAACCTGAAATTTTCTTGCATTGTAGTAATGCAGTTTGAAATGTTATAGTTGGACAAATAGATGAAAAAATGCTCCAAAAAGAAGTATAGCAAACAAAAAAATAGGTGCAAATGAATAAATCTCCTGTTTTCCAAAATTGCTGACAAGAAGTCCCCTACCTATCTTTATAAATACTACAAAAAATATTTTTTAAAGTTATGCAGCAACTCAAGATTTAGATAAAATGGGTTTAAGATGTAGGTGTTCAGTATTTAGTAAGGATTTAAATAACCATCTGAAGGATTGTATCAGTTCTACAATGCGCTGTGCTGGCAAGTTCTAAATTATGTATTGTTATTTTAAATAATTTTAAAAATGCCCAGAGGTAATGATAAGGTTTGTACTTAATTCAAAACAAATAAATTACTTTTTAGTTGGTATGTTCTTAACAGAATTGTGGTATTTAATATTAATTGTTTGTTTATGAACTGAAAATCTCTTCCTGGGAAACCCTTTCCTACTGGGAAAAATTAAAATACTTACTCATTCTGAAATGGAACATGACACATTACTGAGTTATCTATGACCTGCAGGCACACAGAAAAGCCACACCAAATTTTGTACTCATTGCTCCATAACCCAGTTAACTTTATGTTAACTCTATTTATAGTGTCTGGAGTTGTGAAAAAATGCCAGAAATAGTACATACATGTCCCTATATTTAGTCACCATAGGACTATATGCTATAGGGAATTTAATTATTCAGTATTGTTTACTTTAAATTAAAACAAATAAAACATCAGTGATTTATACAGTCCATCATTTAAAAAGCCATACATTATTTCATGTAATAGGGCAAATATTTTACACAAACTACAGTGGTTTTGATTTACTATGTCTATTAAATGTGATGTGAGTGCCCTATGAGTTCTAAAACTGCAGCTCTGAAAAATCCCATGTAGGGTCAATTTTGACGATGCAACATATAATTGCCTATGTGCATTAAGTTTTAAATATGATTCATCCACACTCTCCTAGCCATGAATAGTCATATCTTTTATTTCTCCACACCCAAAATTGAATCCAGTGTGCACAGTGGCTTTGCAATTTCCCTCCAAATGCCATTGGGTGGATTGATTTTGATTTTGTCTATGCTTTATGTTTACACTCTGGCTGAAAAATAGTGTTTAGAGGGTCCTCTCAAAGTGAACAGCTGGAATTTTTTCTGAAGAAGAAATAAAAATAAATAAATATGCCTGTCATAATATGTTGTCACAAACTGCATTCTAACAGAAAGGTCATTTGGTTTATTAGTAAAATGCAAAGATAAATTTAATAGAGAAGTAATAACTGATTTCAGCCCCTGTTGATGTCTGACCAAAATAGTTAGAAGGGCAAATGGTATGAATGTCAATTTTCACGTGATCGTCCTCTAGACCAGATAGCATGTAATTATAGGCAGCTGACCACAAATGTGCAATTACAGTCAGTGGAAGCTGAAGATACTTTTTATCTGTTTATTTAGAAATGTTCTTTTTTTTTTTTTCTTTTACAATTTCACCCTCTGTACTAGAAGCTGTCTGCAGTAAGGAGAAAAAAGCATTATATACTTCCAAGTTTGTATGTTGCTATGGAAGGGTTTGCTTAGATTTTTTTAAATTCATCTAACAATTTTTTGGCATCAAAAAAACAGAGAAGTTGCTTTTCCTTCTTGTATCAAATAGTACCAAAAAATACCAGGTTAGGTCCAATAGGTAAAAATAATTCAGAAGTTCAGGTAGCAGCAACCCAACGTGTACATTGTAAACGTTCATCTGGACATTCTGCTGGAAAACTGAAGTACCACAGGAGGTAAATAAGGTGGAGTCAGAGAAGAGCACTTCCTTAAGAGCAGGCTGCAAGCACTTGCTGAAGTCACACTTCCATGTGAGGTTCTTACAGTTGCTATGGGAATACAGAGTGAAATGTAAAGTGATTGTGCCTAATAAGGAAGGAGGTGATCCAGGAGGTGGAAACTGCAGATGGTAGCAGACAGCAAGTTGTTAAACTGGAATCTGTATCAATGGATTTCAAACTTTCTTTGCCTTCCCATTTTTGGTGCAGAGTTTACATGCTATGAAGAGTGTCCAGAATCTCAGACAGGTGAGAGAGAAGGGAAGGGAAGGAAAGGGAAAACAATGTTGTTTTGTGTTGCCCAATGCCTCTCATTCCCTTGTAGGTCTCTCAGGCAATCTCCCTGAGGTCAATACAGCATTCTGTGCTTTGAAACATGGAACACTGGTTTAAGTGGGATTTTGGAATATGGTATTGTGTTTGCAGAGTGTTAGCAATCAGAAAATATCAAGAACTTGCATGTAACTGAGAAACATGCACCCGTGTAATGTGTATTCCCTGAAAAACATCTGTGCTGGCTAAAGTAAACTTCTGGTTTGCAAACCTTTCTGCAACCACAATGTTTTCAAAGCCCTCTATTTATATTTTGCATTGTTTTGGGTTTTGGGTTTTTTTTTTTCCACTATTTAGTAACTGGAGGTCCTTACACTGAGAAGAATGGTTTGCCTTTGAAGCTTAGAGGCACCTTGTCTTCTCCAGAAGTGAGCAATTATCAGGAGTGAGCAATTATTCCCTGTAATTCTCTCACTTCTGTTTCCTTCTGCATTACGAAGTGAAATGAGAGGAAAAAGAGGACAAAGAAAACTTCTCTGTTTTAGCAAACACTATGACAGAAATGAAATTTCTGATTTTAACTTTGTACTTTATTTGCATAATGGAGCCTTCAATCTTAACTGCAACATTCCTAACGCCTTAGAGTGCTATTATGGTCATTAAAAACCTGATTAACTAGTCTAAATATAGACTGGCCTTTGAGATTCCTTCAGCTACTTAAGATATCTGCAGAAAGCTGGAAGCCACCACAGAATCAGAGAATCTGCTGATTTGGAAGGGACTCACAAGGATCTTTCAGCCCAACTCCTAGCCCTGCACAGGGCCATTCTCAAGAGTCTCACCAAGTGCCTGAGAGTATGTTCCAAACACTTCTTCAACTCTGTGAGGCTTTAACTCCATGATACAACACCTATGATATGGGACACCTGTATCCTTCTTGGCAGGAGAAGATCAGCTGGGATACCCCAGGGTATCCCTGAGTGGCACTGGATGATTACAGACATGTGGACAGCTAAAATGACTTCTCCTTTCCACAGACTGTAATGGCAGCTCAAACACCAACCTCACAGAGTTACACAAAGTTCACCCTGCAATGCTGAGCTGAGTTTAAATTAAATCTCCAAGCCTCTGCAGTCACTTCAGTTAACTATATACCAGCAAAAGAGACAGAGAAAAAAAAAATCAGCAGGTTTTGCTTAAACAAGGCTTTCAAGATTTAGTCACAAATGCTGTTGTTTTTTTTTTTCTTACACTAGGAAGGTAAGTAAAAAAAGTAATTAATTTTTTCTGTCTCATCAGCTTGTACAAATAATTTTTTGTAAAAAGCTACAGTTACTTTTTGTCAAATTTAGTAATGACTGTTGCTATGTAGAGTTAAATGTAATCTTAAAAATTACACATAGAACTACTACTCATATTCTATCAATGTTATCTACTCTTCTAAATACTTTAAATCACACTAAATGACTCTGGTCATATGTCCATTACTTCTGTAAACAAAATCTAGTTTTTCCAAAATGTAACAGAGTACACTGTTTTGCTAAAATGCTTCATTCTTTGGAGATTTTATTTTCTAGTAATGCATGCCATTGCATTGAGCATAGTCTACTTTATTCTTTCTTTCTGTCTGTGAAACTAATGTCTTACTTTCTTCTGTTGGTGAGTGTTTGTTCACTGCCTCTGGAGAACATCTTCAACCCTTGATTATCTTTGTTCTGATCAAAGGAGCAACTTGGAGAATGTTTAGGCTTTCTTACAGGAGGACCACATATCTTATTCACCTAAATGGAAAAACAGCCACAAGAAGGAAAGAACACATGTAAGCAACAATTGTTATGTATCTCTCAATGCAGTTTCACTAGATATTAACAAGAAAGAAAGACTAAGCTACGAAAAGCATAATTAATTATCACCCTGTGTAACACTGTATCCATAATGAATGCAGCAAACATATAATTATCAATTTTATAGTAGAAAAAAGTAGTAAAAGCATTCCTTTTTTAAGGGATACCAAATGTGTAAGAAAGTCACCATGTATTTTATTGATTGTGGTGCATTTTTCCCAGTGTATTTTTATGGAGACTGTATCAGTATCCTCAGAGAATATCAGCATATTTCCATTTTTTCTTTAATGTATCCCAATCACATTTTTAATATGCATTGAACTTTGTGCCTTCTTTCAGGGTTCATTAATTATTATGGCATGTTCAGCCCAGCTACACAAATATATAGTGGACAGTTAGCATGGTGGAAACTTGCATTATAACACAGAAAAACATTAAGGAAATGACCCAAGATGTAAGTTTAATGATATTGGACTACAGATGTTGAAAATATCAAGGAATTTTATGCCCAGCTTTCTGATCTAGATGTCAATGGATAAAAATTCACATGAAGTCTCATTTTCTTCTTTCTAAAATGTGATACTGAACATAGTATCACATAGTATGTTCTATGACATAGGACATCACATTCATAGCTTATTACTCTTCCTAGTCATTGAATAAAAAAATTAGAAATATACATATATTTATTAAATAAGAGATAGTTATGCTTGTAATTACATCTGAAAAGATATATTAAGCAGACTGAACAGCATGCATTTGTGTAAGCTGGCACTGGTGAAAAACTAATACTGTATATGATTTATGAAAACTTGGTAGTCATTAGGTAGTCAACTTTTAGAGAGAAAAAGGGAGAGAGAAGATCAATGTGGCCTCTAAGGCAGACATCCAATCTTGAAGCAGAAACATTCAAAATACTACCATGTTAAGGAAGGTGTGTATGCTACACAACAGGGATTACTGTTTCCTATTTTATATTCCCACATGTAGGCACAGAGACAGCAAATAAATCTCATTTTCAAGTCATCACACATTAAAGACAGAAATGCAAGTCTTATGGACCATCTTTCCAACTAAGAGCTCCTGTAGAGGTAGTCAAGAAACACATTTAAAATTTAAAAGAGAATAAACACATTTCATTTTAATGAGTTTGTCGTCATGAATGTTGTATGTCGTGATAACGGAAGATTCACTGAACACACTTGCTTAGGTCAGTGAAAAGAAGAAAGAATCAGCATTAGAACACATAAGAACTACATAAGAATTAGTGTTCACCTTATGATTTGAAATTGGAGGTAAAGTTGAAAGTGAGTAGTCCTTTTAGGCTGTGGTTCACATGTCACAATACAGGCAGCCAAGTTATAGTTTAGACCCCCTCCAAATGACATGCCCGAATTTACCTGCAAGACAATTATATCTGGATTTATGACTAATGTCCTTTAAGGGATTACACTTTGAACACAACTTGAGGCATTCTCAATGTTTCTTCTTAGAGACAGTGTCTCTCTGGACAGCATATTACTACATTCCTTCTTGTCCTCAAATTCAGTTTCAAACCTCCTTCACTATATTTTCTCCAGTAAAGCATTTCCCACATTAAAGCATATTCCACCAGCTTAACTGGACTCCTCATTTCCCCCCCACCTTGTCTCTACACCTTTTCGGTGCTTCATGCATCCTTACACAAATTTGCTCCTTCAGTGACGGCCTCTGCATCAGCTTATCACATCAGCCTCTCTATGCCAATATAATGGAGATATACCAGAGACACAAAATGTTTCACTTTTATTTGTCTCACTTTTATCATATTCTTTTATGCTGACTGATGCGACACAGGGAGCATTGTGCTAATGATCAGCTTCTATGACAAAGCAGCTGATTGTTCGAGTTGCCTCAGTTCCAGCTTCCCATACACTCTTCAGCTCTTGTCTGCCTTGCCAAAAATAAAACTAAGGTTTAACAGAGTGAGAGTCAGATTCAGATGTTTGGGAAGGAGGCTCTGTCTCATGACAGGCCTGGGTCGGGTGTGTAGCTTGTTGTAGGTCTCAGGTGCCTTGTACATCTGAACTTGTCCAGGTACTGGCAGAGCCTGACTGCAGGGTGAGAGCCTGTGGGGAGAGGAGAAACAGGGTGGAGGTGACCTGCTGGCTAATGCAGCCCCTGAGTAGATGAGTAACAGTTCTTCAGGGAATTAAAAAAAAAAAAAAAAAAAAAAAAAAAAAAAAAAAAGAGAGAAAGAAAAAAATAGATAAAATGGCCCCACCTATAGTAAACTGAAAAAAAACAAGACAATCCACAACTATCCATGTTTCTTGAATTTACAGTAGTCTCATTATATTTTGCTCTGACTAAAATGAATAAAAAATATCAATAATTTTTACAGTCATAGTGCCTTGGAATATGGATGATACTTGTAGTATGTGTGCTGCACATAAACAGTTCTTTCAAAACACTGTCTTACAGTCTTTCTCTATTCTCTGAATCAATGTCTCAAGAAATGCATTTGAAATAGGAAATTTGCATTCACTGATACATGTAAATACAAACCTCAGTTTCAAATACAAAATATTTCTTAAAAATTAATCTTGGGTAAACTTTATACATAAAAATAGCATTAAGAAACAGTAATTATCTGAAATGTCTTTTTACGAACTTTTTTTTTCCCCAGTGTTGGAAAATCCTGAAAATTCTAACAAAAAGCATTTGCACAGCACCACATACACCTCTGCTATTCTCACAAAAATACACATGACAGTAATCATACTGCTGAGAACTCAGTTCTGTTAATGAGGGCAGCAGCACAAAATTAGCTCTTTAGCAGCCACTCACTTACCCAGACACAGTTTCTGAGGGATGAACTACTTCAGCATTTACAATGGTCATGTCAGCATCTCTGTAACCTTTCTCATATCTGTGATATTTAAACCTCTGGGATCACTGGCTTTGTATGATGTTGGTTCTTCTTTCTGTGTCTGTACACCATGCTCATTTTGCTCACCCAGCTGAACCCAGCCTGGGGTTTTTAAACTGCTCAGTAGTGTCTGTCACTTTTATGTCACTAACTTCCTGTGCAAGACAAATTTACTTTTGCCTCCCTCGCTAGCCCAGTATTCATTATCACCTGGTTTCTGCAGTAAACATGTGCATATGAAAATATCATGTACTATTGTCTTGCCTTCAGGTGCCTGTTCTGTCTGTGAGCCAAATAATTTGTAACTCAAACATTCCAGTATTTAATTTCCCAGCACAGGGCTGATGACAGTCTAAAAACCAAATAAATACAGTTTCCATAATAATTTGTGCTTTATAATTTTTTAATGCTTTCTTTATATCTACAGGAAGAAGTATATGTGATAAGTGTAACATCACCTAGTTGTATTTCTTGTGTTTTATGAAGTACATCTATAGCCATTAGCTGTATTGTTTCCTAATTTTTAGTCTTTGCACTGCAAAATTAACCCTCCAATTGAGAAATCATTCAGTGCTATTATTGCCAGTCTTGAGAGATTGGGATCATAACTTTGAGAGAAGAGCAATGCTCTCACTACTCTACTGAAGTAGTAAGTGACCATTTTGCAGCAATATCTGATCAGAATGTATTCCTACTGTCTTCCAGTGTCACTGGAATGGGATTTTCTCTGATTGTTTCCACAAACTGAGCATTTTTCTTGGCTTCAAAACCAGAAGAGTGTAAAGAATGATCCTCAAATGGGATGAAGAATAGAAAAGTGAAACAGAAAAGTCATCAGAAAAAGAATTTAGTGAGATGACTCTCACTGAATTTCATGAAGAATTAAAGACTTCCACAAAATTTTAAAGCAGGCAAGCCTCAGCAACTTGCTAGGATTTTTTTCTCTTTTTTTTTCCATTTTTGAAACCTTCTTAAATACCACACAGTATTTAAGAGCATAAAAAGAAACTTCAGAAAATTATAAAATTCCTGATTTTCACAGTTCAGACAAACCTATTGTCATTATAGTCAGCATGCTGTTATTACGCACAATTTGTATGCCACAGTATGATGACTGAGTTAATTAAAAGCTCTTGTAATAACCACGCAGTTAAATTGCAATTAGTGCCACACATGAACTTTATGGCACTTTGATTTTGCTTGGTGTGATTCCTTGGAATGCCTACTTATGATTACTCACAGTTTGGAAAACTGGAGCATTATAAACCTTTGCATTTAAACAGGGCTGGACAATGATGGGAGCATCACAGCAATAATGGTTGGACATTCTCCTCTAAGTTCAGACATTCAGTATGAGAAATGTGTCAAGTTCTTTGTTTCAGTTTTGGTTTGTGCCTTTTGCTCTTTTTCCCCACAACACAAATGGCTTTTTCGGACCTCAGCATTTCCACCAAAATTATTTTACATCAAATCACTGAAGCAAACAATGCAAAGTCCTGTGATGTACTTCAAACTAGATTTAAAAAGTCTCAGTACACTCAAGTTTTAAATGCCTGCATGGATGCCTGCCACAGTGATGCCTTGAAGGTCTGTGAGACTGGATCAATCTAATTAACACCTGACACATATTCCATTTACAGGAAATCCTAGAAATATATACATACATGCATCAAAAACTTAGAGTACTTGCTAAACCTACCAAAAAAACACATGAAAGAAACTTTCAAAATGAAGTTTCTTTCATGTTTTCAGACTCCTGATTCTGATACCCAGCCAGATCTGAGTAAAAGACCAAGAGGTTTTGTACCCAGAGAGGTGTCTTCTCCTGTTCCTCGATGCACAACACAGTCTAAGTGACTAGATATGCCATAATCTGATTTTATTTAATGCATGTTTTAGCTAGTGATTACTCTGGTGGCTTTAAATTCTAGCTGTCAGATCACAAACTTGCCATATTCCTTACAGTTAAATCCACTCAAACACTCATGACCAAATGGACAGCTGAAATCTAACTACCTTAAAATAA